TTCTACCATAGGAGAGTCAACATCAGTTTCTTTACTGGCTGGGTCAATTCTGCTTCCTTCAAACTCCACCTGTTTGGGAGTTCCATCTGTCTTCTCCAATTTTTCTGAAGTCACCTTTCTCAACATGGTAGATTCATCAAAGATAACATCCCTGCTGAAGATTATTTTCTTTGTTTCTGAACACCAAAGATGATAGCCTTTCACACCAGAGGTGATCCCCATAAAGATCACCTTATTTGCTTTTGGATCCAGCTTTGATTCCTTAACATGGTAGTATACAGTGAAACCAAACACATGCAAGGAATCATAATTTGTAGCAGGTTCTCCAAACCATTTCTCTAATGGTATTTTACCACCAATAGCAGTCGATGGTAAGTGGTTGACAAGGTGACAAGCATAGACTAAAGCCTCAGCCCAAAATTCTTTGCCTAACCCAACATTATACAACATACACTGAACCTTCTCCACTAATGTCGGTTCATACTCTATGCCACCCCATTCTGTTGTGGTGTAGATCTGACAATGAAATGCCTGAAAATACCTTCTTCTTTACAGACTTTCAGAAATGGATCATTTTTGTACTCTTCACCATTGTCTGTATAGAGACGTTTGATTTTTATGCCTGTTTGAGTCCACCATCTTTTTCCATTTAAGGAAAAATCCTAGCATCTCATCCTTTGTCTTCATTGTATACACCCAAACTCTCCGGGAAAAATCTTCAACAAAGGTGACATAATAGTGTGTTCCTCCCAATGAAGTTGTCTTGGAAGGCCCCCATACATCTGAATGAACATAATCCAAAATACCTTTAGTATCATGGATTGTTGTTCCAAATTTCACCCTCGTCTTCTTCCCTTTGATGCAATGCTCACAAAAAGCTAATTTGCAAGCCCGAGCACCCTTCAATAATCCTTGATCTATCAGCAATTTCAAGGATTTTTCACCAACATTCCCCAAGCGCATATGCCATAACCTGGTTGCTTCTGACTCCTGTTCATCAGTAGAAGCTGCCACTGCTGCTATCCCAACAATTGTACTACCCAGAAAGTAATACACATTGTTTCTTTTCCGGATTCCCTTCATTATCACCAGTGCACCAGAGATAATCCTCATAATCCCATCTTTTGCCCTCACTTTTAAACCTTTTGACTCTAAGGTTCCCACATAGATGAGATTTCTCATTAAATCTGGTACATAATGGACACCTGTTAAGGTTCTGATTGATCCATCATGATTCCTCAAGCGAATTGAACCAATCCCAAGTGTGTCAAGAGGGGAATTATTTGTTGTGTAGACAATTCCACCTTTTAGTTCTTTAAAATCAAAGAACCATTCTCTATTGGGGGTCATATGGTGGCTACAAGCTGAATCTAACAACCATGAACTGGAACAGCTGGTTGATGGTGTAGCAGCGAATGCGAAATCTGAATTTATATAATCATACTTGACCACATTTGATTCTGAGACAGCCTTTCCCCTTTCAGGTTTGCCTTTATTCTTTAACCTGAGACATTCTTTCTTCCAGTGCCCTTTTTCTCGACAAAAGGCACATTCATCTTTACTCAATCTGTACTTTGACTTCGATCTCCCTCTCCTTCCTTTATTCTGACTCTTCGAACGGCCTCTAACAGCAAGAGCTTCTGCTTCGACACTTGTATTTTCTTGTTTGTCTTTCTTTCTCAATTCATAACTATATAAGGCAGCAGTTACTTCACTGAGAGACACATCAACCTTCCCATGAAGTAGAGTAGTTTCAAGATACTCAAACTCATCATGAAGTGATCCCATCAACATCAGAGCCATATCTTCGTCTTCAAAAGTCACGTCCATATTCATCAGATCAGTCACTAGCTGATTAAAGCTAGTAATGTGATCATTCATAGTGGTACTTGGTACATAGTTGAAGCGGAACAATCTCTTTTTCATGTAGAGCTTGTTCTGACCGCTTTCCTTCAAAAATTTCTCCTTCAGTGCCTTCCACAATTTACTTGCAGAAGTTTCCTTAGAAAATGCATACTTCTTCTCTCTAGAAAGACACGATCGAATAGTACCACATGTCAATCTATTGATCATCTTCCATTCTTTCTCCTCAACATCATCTGGTTTCTCTCCTTCAATAGTAATGTCTAGACCCTGTTGAAATAGGGCATCTAAAACCTCACTTTGCCACATGTCGAAATGACTGGTGCCATCAAAAATCTTCACTGCAAATCTAACATTTGTCACAGCATTTCTTGCAGATGTTTTTGTGTCGTCTGCCATTTTTGCTACAAATTCTATTTAATAGCTGTTAATGCGGAATGTCAATTATCCCAAGAAAATTTTTTCTGATGTGGAAGATCAGCCTAAGCCGTAACCACAGAGCATACTAAAATAAACCAAGAGCGCTGATACCAATTGTTGTAGAATTCGAGTTAATTTCCACCAATAATAACAAATTCACCTTGAAAAGTATTATCTAGGTGACTACGATTGTACTAAAAATCACCCCAATGTAGATTCCCAGGAAAGAGGAGGGGTCACAATGGTCCCTCTTAAAATCCACTTTCCTTAAATAGAACTACCAAGACAAGTAATTTTAATAGAACAATAATTAACAACAACTATACCCGTCAATAGCTATTTAATAGACATAAAGAGAACACCAAAATTTAACGAGGTTAGGCCAAAATTATGCCTACCTTCTCGAACACTACTAAAATAATATTTCAATAATAGAGGAAATATTAAAAGAGAAAAAGAGTATAAATAGTCTTTAATAGTGAAGAAGACTTATATTTGTGGGATGTTAAACTAAGGAGGATAAGTGCTCTATTTATAACAAAAGAATTTCCCCTCCTCCTTATAAACAACCAATGTGGGATTTTACAAAAAAAAAAAAAACCAACATTCATTTCACTTCTCACGACCCTCCTTGCAATTGAAAAAACAAGTATTAACACCTCTGACAGATGGTAGAGCAAGCTCATCAATCCTATCCAAAAATGTCTGCTTTTGTGTTGGATTTTGGTTTCTGATGTACAAAAAAAAAGTTAAACAAGTTGAATCCAACTGGCTTTCTGTCTTCTTGTTCATGAAATTACTTACCTTTTTGTTCTCATTCATTCGCTGCCTTTCTATCAATATCAAGTTTCTCTACTGCTTTGGTTCGTTAGTCGTAAAGGTAGTCTCTAAGTTTTAAACTCGGATCAGAGTGTAACTATCTCAAACACGAATAATTATCTGCTCTACTTTTGCACTCCCAGAAGCTAAAATGGACTGATATTCTCAAGCCTTGCGTGACAGCAAGCTAAATCTAAATTCATTTGGCCATTTCTTGCTCTTAAGCTTCATGTATGATCTCATATTCTTTTTCAACCTAAGAAAAAATGTTTGGAATTCGATCTTTCACCATCCTCATTTAAGTTACTTATTCATCAAAAACATTTATCCATTCAAATGAACTGTAAAAAATGCTACGGAATAAAACTCAGCTATGAATACGATAGCCTATATCCGTGCCAAACGCATAACTATACCAGGAGAGCCGCACAAAACCCTAGTTAAGGTCTGAACCTTTGTCTGCAAGAAATCTGCATGCGCATAGAGTAGAATCTATCTGCGACGTCGCTCTTTCCTTTATTTGTTCAGCTCTTTCAACTTGTTGCTTTGCTATTTGCCACACATGCTTAGCTCTTGCGAAGTCAAGAATGGGATTCAACACTGTTTGATGGACGTTGCTGGATTGGCCTAAGACTGATTGATTGTTGCAAGTCAAGTGATGAAGGTTCTTCATATTCATCACTCCCATCCATATCTTAGGGATGAAGAATCGGAGCTAGCGAGATAAATGGGGAGCCATTGTATTTCTTTTTTATCTTCCTCATCCATAGATAAGGAGGTTTAAGCTAGGGGTGTTAAAAAAACGGAAACCGTCACCAGTAACTGTTAACCGGTATAACTGATATATTTAATAGGTTAATTAATTGAACTGTTAATACTTAACAATTTAGGTTAACCGAACCGTTAAAAATGATGGTTAACGATTAAAGTTACAATTACAAATTTGATAAACGTTTAACCAATGGTTAACCGTTAATAAATTAAATTTATAATTATATTTCTAATTTATTATATTTTTACACAAGTAACTTGATATAAGTTTCTGTTATTTATAATTTTTATATATATATATATATAATAAAATTTGTATACAAATAACTTAATAATATTTTTTATTATTTTTTTTTGAAGATATAGAAACATACTTACACCAATATAAGGTACTAAGATATTGGGAGATGTATATACTTACACTGTTGTAAGTATGTGTTAAGTGATACACTTTTTTATTTTATTTATTTACACCGGTGTAAGTATATGTTAAGACTTTTTTTATTTTATTCACTTACACCGGTGTAGTATGTGTTAAGTGCTACATTTTTTATAGTATGAACTATGAAAAAATTTGACAAAAAATTGTTATAAGTTAACCTACTGTTAACCTGTAACTGAATCGTTAAGAATAGTTAACCATTTTTTAATAGTTAGGTTACGGTTAGAAAAATCTCGTAATCGTTATAACGGTTAACTGACCTTTTAGGCTAAATGATATGATTAACTGTCCATGAACAACCATAGTTTAAGCAACTAAAGTGAGGAAGATAGTTGACTGAAACAAAATTATCCCTTTTTTATTATCTATCCTAATTACCTTATTTAAAGGGCTTATCAAGTTATCAAACTCCAACGGTAGTTTCATCTTCAATATGGGCTGAATTAAAATTTACCGTACTTAGACTTAACTAAGTGAGACCAAGCAAATTTAATAAACAATTTGATATTTGATGTCAATTAAATTCAAATTTGTTTTTTTATTTTATATATTCACAAATCATTTAATTTTAAATATATAAATAATTTAATTTTACATATTTTTTTAATAATAAATCGTTCACATTGCATTAGAAGTTTTAAAAAAAAATTGAGAGTTTAAAGGAGGAAAAAAAGTAAATAAACAAAACGCTGTCGTTTTCTTTGTGCTCCAAAACCGCGAAGGAAACCCGTAAAAAACAAAAGTTTCTTCACTCGGGAAAAAATTGGCGGCACCAGACGAGATGTCGAACTCAACGGAGCAAACCCTAGACGACGAACTTAGACCGTACGACCGGAGCCCTAAAAATCAGCTACGTGAAGACCAACAGCAGGCTCAAGAATGGGAGACCCTAGCTCGAGCCTGGGTAAGTGCGTTTCCAGAAGCAAAAGCTGTGACCGTGAGCCAAGTCGAAGTCTGGATCGACTCAAACTTCGGCTCGCTACCAGCCGATCTCCAATCCATGCCACGATCCGAGCTCATCGAAAGACTCCTCTCAATCCAAAGTTACCTCAGATTTCCCTCCCAGACCCAGGTTTTAATTTCACTTTCTCTTTTTCCCTCCCAGACCCAGGTTTTAATTTCACTTTCTCTTTTTCCCCCCCAGCATTTATTACTGTGAGTTCTTTTTTGTATAATAGATGGTATCTCAATCTCAGTTTTTAATAGCCTGATCACTGTATTAGTTTCTTGGATATTCCTAGCCACTGATAAAAAAAACGGAAAGAAACGGTTCCAGAAATTATTCAATAAATAAATAATTCCGGGTTTTTTTTTTTGCTTACTGTTTCGAATGCTTGCGATGTGATTTTGTCAAGTCATGGGGAAAGGTTCGGTGATTGTAAGTTACGACAAAAGGCGTGTTTTCTTTAATTCTTAATTTAGGAATCTCTCTACAGATAGACTGAGTATGATTTAGATAAGTATGCACTGAAATGAGAAATCTCTACATGCTTTATCCAAATCTGTTAGTAAATTTTATGGGCTTTTGTTTCTGATGGACTGTTGACGTTGAGGCTGAAGTTTTATGTTCTTTGTGCATATCTCTTCCTTTTGTATTTCTCTTTTGGTAGGAAAGAGAACCAAGTCAGCATGAACTTCCGCCTGCTCGGTTTCAGCGCACTGATCAGTGGATACCAGTCTATTCATGGTTAGAATCTTTGGATACCGATGAAGTGGTCAAATCTAAAGAGATTTCGGATTGGTTAAATGATAACCAACAAGTCAAGGACCAATTGTGTTCCAGGCATTCTCGGTACCATTTGATGCACTATATAAAAAAATGCCATTTAAAGATATTAAAAAGGAGGGAAAAGAAGGTAATGATTCTTCTCACTTGTAATGTTGGTGCTGCAATTGACATTTCATGTTTTTATGTGTTCTACTTTTGATATTCAGTCTTGTAGTGTATGTGAATGTTTAGTTTATTAGTACATGTGTGATGTGCCCTTATAAAAATCTTTGCTTTGTGTGTTATTTATCATATTTATGGCCTTAAATACTCATTTCGTAGCGTTGAACTCATGAAGAATAATCTTTCTGTGAACTCATGAAGAATCAGCTTAAGCTTGCAAATTTCAGCTGATACTTCACTGCTTTGTACTAATTCAGATTAGTGTCACTACTTTTACTTGAACAGGTTGTACCGCAGCCCTTGAATAAAGAAAGCGTTTTGAAAGTGCGGAAGGATGTAGTGGCAAAAAAACCAACACCAGTACCAAGTATGTCCGATTTCTGTTTGTTTTAATGATGATTAGTGTAGGTTTGGTTGTTCAATACCAACTGAGTGTCTTTTCTGAGAGGAGAGACATAATCATTGTACACCTCCACACTTGCAAATCCTCCGCTGCATGTATGAAGATGTAAATGGCAATTTTGCTTAAGTCAATGGTTTATGATCATACCATTATTGCTATTAACTAAATTTTAATGGGATGTTCCTCAGTGGCTTTATTTTGGGCAGCAACTTGCAGCTGCAAGTTGTTCGGTTATTATCTTTTCTTGTTTCTGACTCTTACCAGATTCTGTGTTCTTTGTGATGATGAGGCTTAATGGCTATGTTGATGCCTAGATACCAACTTACAAGCTTTTCCTTGGTCTCGATTTGCCTTGTTTGCGTTGTCTGTTTTCATGAAAAATGCATTATTTTGAACGCTTCTTTCACCTGTTTGTTTGTTTGTTTTACACTCGCTTCCTTCTCTGTGCTTTCTCAGTTTTTCATATTAAAGTAAAAACAATCTAATCATATTTCATATAAATGAGAACAGCTAGAATATGTTTGCTTTATGTAACATGTAATTGAATATGAACAATGAGCCAACATAATATTCAGCATGTTATTGAAGAGTTGTTCTAATGTTCTTTCATGCTTTGCTTTTATCTGTTACTTCAGTCCAATTCTCTTTTTCTCATGTTATTTAGGCAATCCTTTGAACAATTTACCTAAAGATAGTGACCTCTACATAGCAAAACGGAACGAAGCTTTACGCAAATATGAGATGTGAGTTATTTATTTGATTGACCATTTATGCTACAATTAATAAATGATTTATCCCAATTTGTTCAGTAATTGTTGCATTTACATTTCAGCTTATTAGAATTGGAGAAGAAGCTTGCCCCTGTATTCTCGCGGAAGAAATGAAGGGATCTGAACCGAACCTAGATACAACTACTCCATGCTTGTACTGATAACTTCGTTTTCAGCATGAGGTATAGATTTTGCATGTGATTAGACCATAGTGATTCTAATTCATGCATTTTATGTGCAAATATTATCGTTTAGGAATATTATGCTATAATCTTTATTCCGCAATTGTTTTGAGTTGTACTTCTTTGCTTGATTGTTCTACCTTTGATGCGCCATCACTGATTCTGACTATTTAACACAATGGCTGAGAATACATCTGGCCAAGGAAATCAGTAATGAGAGCAGTATTTTGTGCATTAATTTGTTATATTGTTCTGTCTTTTCTTTTGTCATGAAGAATCTGTCTGGCATCTCCATACAGTCAGCATGATCCCTGATATGCATGTATGATTTTGCTAGCTCTAACAAAACAAACAAATTTCTTTAATCGCCTAAGGCTGGCTAAATTTATATATCCCTTGGAACAAAAGCGTGCCATTGTGTAATATACCAACTAATAGCAGTGTCTATATTGTAGGATTACAACTAATAAATATACTTTGATTCCCAAATAATTTTACTAAAATTCGTCATTAATATCAACCGACCATATAATTTTTAGCTCCGTTTTTCTAGGATCTCCTACGTGTCTTAGGGTGCGTTTGGTTCACGGAATGTAAGATTACCAGTAGGAATAAAAGATTACCAGGGAATAGGATTACTGGGAATGTTGTATTTTATATTTGGTTGGTTTAGTAGGAATGTAAGATTAACGTGTTTGGTTAAAGGAATAAAAGATTATTGGAATGTATATTTGACCAAATTGTCCTTATTATATATTTGTATAATATTACAAATTGTAAAATATTTATATATTTTCTTTAAAAAATTAAATTCATAATATTTATATATTTTTTTACAAAATTAAAAATATAAAAAAAGTTTAATGAAAGGGTAAATTTTTTTTAACCCTTGAACTTCATTTCCGGTAATGTTACAATACTTAAGGGAAGGGAGGTAATGACATTTCCGGTAATATATTCAAAAAATTTACTATTGTTAATAAAACATTACCAAAAATGAGATTCTCTACCAACCAAACATGGGAATGTGGGATTTTCATCCCATGAGAACCTCACAATCCTTGAACCAAACACTCCCTTAGAATTTTGGTTTTGCACAGTTAGTTTTACTCAGCCGGTTGTCGACGATCACCATCCGGCTGTTGTGGACCCTCCGGTTTCCCTTATGGTGGTAGAAAGCCATGCTGTCGAGAAACGGATGAAAGTACTGGTTTGGCCCCACATGTGTGTACTTGAAGTTGTGGGTGATTGTCTGATGGATGTGGTTCAAGTGGAAGACGCCCCGCCTATTTCTCATGGGGAGCAAGCCTCCTTATGCGGCCATGGTAACGGATGGTAACGGATGGTAACGGATGGAATTAAGATGTTACAAAACGATAAAGAAGAAAATTAGAGATTTGTGGCGGATGAAAAAGCTATTGAGCAAGATTCTTTAAGTAAGGTCAGGGGTTCGAATCCTGACATTTACGAATAGAGCAAATTGGGTTGGGAGGGTCGTTCTCACCTCTACAATATCCGATCTGAATTAGTCGATCAATAGATCGGATATTAATAATTAATTCAAAAAAAAGCTATCGAGCTAATGTAGATTTTGTCGCACATCCAATTTATAATGAAAAGGTATTCAAAATTCCTTTAAATATTTTTATCAAATAAAATTAAATTTTTTTATCCTTTTATAAATTATAATCATGTAAGTATAATTAAAACAATTTTCTTTATACAATTATCATGTAAATAAAATTGTCATATTAAACAAATTATTACCATTGTTTTTTGACATGAAAACAGTTAGTTAAATAATAAGTGTTATACTTGATAAAAGATATTATAATAAAAAAATATAAAAACTTTTTTTTTTGATAATTTTGAGTTAATACAATATATTATATATTCAAACTCTCAATCATTTAACAGTGAACACTCGTATATCTTGCATTAATGATGCTCAAACTTGAAATCTCAAGGGATAACAAAATTCCCTTAATTATTGAGGTAATTTGGTTTGTGAAAAACAAAGCAAAGGATAAATTGTAAAAGATTAAAATTTGAATTTTCCATCCTTTATTTTAAAGCAGCTTGACTAAAAAAAAAAAAAGGTAAACTACGTCAAATTCGACTAATATTGTTTTATCATTGAATTTTCAATTACTTCAGTTATTGTACTAAATTTTGATTTTAGCTTCAATTAGATCACCAGATTATTAACTGGATAACGTAGATGATGATTGTCGATGTGGATTTTGAAAAAAAAATAGATTGGTTTGATTATTTTTTATGCCTAAAATAACATAATGTTATTGAAGAAAAATTAAGAAAAAATATGAAATGCACCTCAGACCTCGGTCACCCAACTATTAAGCCATATTATGATTTAACAAAAATAATGTATATATATTATTGAAATTAAATCAATTTATTTAATAATAGGAAGTATACAAAATGTATCAAGTTATATCTATTTTTTCAGTTTAGTACTAACATTTATTTCGTTCTAGTTTGACACCAAACGTTTCATTCCGTTGTTTAAAATGAGTCAAAGAGTGACGAACCGTTAATTTTGACCGTTAACCCATTAAAAATGCCATCTAACAAAAATTTTAATACTAAAAAATGATTTCTGATTACCCAACTGGAATTCGCTTCCAAACATTCTTTAAAATCACTACATCTAATAAATATTTCCATCAAAACTAACATAACTTCAACAGTAACCCTTATTAAATAATAAATTACAAAGCTATTACTGTAGTCTAAATTACAAATTATTTATAGAAAAGATATGGGGTTTTAACTAAAAGAAGATGTGGTTACAAAGCAGAAGCCTACCTGATTTAATTCCATGTCGTTGGCTCCACATTTCGAGGAGAAAAGCTTCCTCAGTTTTAGGTTTTAGATAACCATCCAAATCCAACTTCATCGTCTTCTTATTCGAACAAGAGATTTGCCTTTGGTTATTTCCACCTCCAGATCCCGCGGCAGTTTTTGAAGGACGGCAATCGCTAAATTCTGGGCTCCAGCTCCCTCGGCTGCTGCTCGTCAATTGATCGCTTATTTCTTGTGCACTCACCACTTCCTATATCATGCCAATGCAGTATATGTATATGCACACAAAATCAGCTCAGCTCTGCATTTCTCAGTTAGGAAGCAAGCATGGCAATACCACCCAAACTCGGATATCAAATTCAAGAATCCATTACTCGTATTGGAATAAAATATCCGACACTATTTGAATGAAAGCAAAGGTCCGCTCAGGATAACAAATCTAATATCCAAATTACAAAATTATCAGAATCTGCAAAAACAAATCGAATAGTGTCGGATATTCAATTTTTTACTATCAACTACCATAGCTAAATAGGGAATAAGATTACCTGAGAAAGATTGTGTTTATTCTCGCAAGAAAAAGGAGAAACATCGTTAGAAGTCTCCCACTGTAACCAAGGCAGCATTACACCATCCATTTCAACAGGGACAGATTTAAACACCGTCGGATTCTGGAAAATTGGTGTCTTTGTTATTCCCCCCATACTTGAACTAGTAGTATCACTCCTGTCTCCATCCAATGAAGAAATATCTGTATCTTCAACATTCGAAATGAAATCTTCAATATACTTTTCAGCCTCCTCGGTTAATTGCCGGGACATTCTATATCTGTCATTGCTCCTCTGCAACACAATTCAGATGTTGATAAAACAATAAAAAGAAATGTTCAATCACCTTTCTTACAAAGAACATCAGAATCTAATGGATCTAAACAAAGAAAATGGCATGGACTCAAAAATAACCATATAGAGTACAAAATCATGCAGTATCGCATCGAGTGTAGAAGTTGTACTTTTCGCGCTTGTAATGGTTTCTCAACAACCACGTTCTTTGGTTCAGGAAGCAATTCTTTGACAATTTTAGAGAGCTCTCTACCATGCTGCTCCTCCAACAGAATCTTAGCTAATAAATCTTGTTTACGCTCCTCAGACTGCACAATCAAAAAGTAAAAACCAATCACTAATGTTTTCAAGTTGAAGTGCAGAGATTAATTAAGGAAATTAATAACATCAAAGATTTAAAAAATATAACATTTAATATTACATTAATAATTTTCTTCTAGTCTAGCGTAAACCATAAACAAAAAAACCATGCTGATATGAATGAAAAGTACTAAGAAAAGTTACTTTTCTCATCAAAAGGAACTAAAATGCAACCTTACTTTTGGTTTCCAGTATAAAGCAAAAATCCAAAACAAGTGTTGGTTCAGGCTTACCGTAAACCAATAGTATTAAGTCAGAACCAATTATACCTGGAACATAAATTGGTCCAGGCACAGGGAACTAAAACTGGAACAATTTTTTACTTCTATATAACATTTATCTCAATAGGAATAGTCTTCTTTGGTTTGTTTAGTAGGAACTAAATACGATTTATTGAAACACAATAACATTTTTGGAACTTATATAATTTTTTTTGTTTATATAAACATATTTTCTAAAGTTTGTGAAATTCTTTACTCAATAATGTTATCATAAACTATATGTTAGTGGAATTCCCAATAAGGAACGTGTGTACCTATAAAAAATTGTTGGGGAAATAGTGATTTCTGGTGACAAAGGTCAGAACCAATACATCTGCGATGGAAAAACTACGAAGTTTGTTGCATAGATTATTTAAACCAAATGCACACACTAGTATTTATTAGCTCATTCAAACACTTCTGTAAGTATGCAGTACCAATAAACCATAATCGTCACATAAAGGGAAAGTATTGCACCACAGAATGTTGATTTGTACCTTTTCCAATTTTGTTGTACACTTCCTTCTAGTTGCAGAAACAGCCTGATTTACATCAGAATTGTCAGGTCGCAAGCTATCACTGATTGCTATGCCAGGCTTCTTTGTTTTAACCATTGACTGCATAAACCAAGATGCCATCCAGGTCAGCAAACAAAATTTGTGAAACAAATTATGCTCATGTAGGAGCAAATAAATCATCAATCATGATCACCCAAAAAAAAAATACAAACTTGTACAAGTTGTGTCTTGATCTCTTCCGCAGCATGTCTAAGCTCTTCTCGCATTGCAGCATATAACCCACCATTCACATCATCCCCGATGGGGTGCTCCCCCTAGCAGGCAGGAAACATAAAA